ATATATAGTTGTATAACTCACCCAGGTAATTTTAACATATAGATATAACTTTATATATATATAACTTTATATATATAATTTATGAGATACTGCATACAACCTTGCCACTTTAATAAGGTGGTAGAGGAATATTTTTGATAAATAAACAGGCAGTTTATAGCAAACAAGTATGCCTGCTGAAGCATTTACTGTTGTCCATAAGTAGGAACACTTACTGAAGATCAATTATGATTACTGGCACTCGGCTCAGTTTCTCCTGACTGTAACCCTGGAAATTGAACTTGCCATTTTTATCCATGTTTTTAGGAAGTTCATCAAGTAGTGTCTCTGTTATGACAGTGATTACATTTTGCTCTTCAATGAGGTGGTGGGCCTGAAAAGGAACATACCTTTTAAAAAATAACATATCTTTTAATTCCTGAAATACCCCAAACCCTCACTCTGCTTTATTATCTGTTTCGAAAAAAAGATTATGCTTTTAGGCATATACCGTAAGTGCCCAAAATTATATTGCCACAGCTAAGAGCTACTCTAGGCATTAGAAAGTATTTGTTTCTTATAAGTGGCGATACATAAATACTGTACGGTACATACAGTACATATTCTACTAGCTGTCCAGTTTTTTGTTTTGATTTTTTTTCTCTGTGTTTTCATAATATGCCATCAATTCTGTGATTCTTCTGGAAGTGAAGGATTGGCCAGCTGTACACCATTGCCCAGGGGAGGCCCAAGTGTACTTGTAGTGCATTCCACACTTCAAGGAGGCATCTTTTATGCCCCTTTCACTTACAGAAGCCTAGCATTGCAAACGTGCTGATGAACAAAATGATTCAATGGCCCTTTCAGGACCAACAAATGACAATATAACACTTCAATTGTTCATAATATTTACCTATATTTCATATATGTCCATAATTTTAAATTGTGCAACACTCTGATACGAACAAAGAAAAACATCAATTCTGTGGCTGTTATATCTGCAACATTAATTTCCTAATCATTTGGTAAAATCTTTGTAGCGATTTCTCAGTCAAATTACTATATAGTGGGTGGCCAACATTTTATACGTAACAGAAAAAAAGTTCTTGCTTTCACGGACACTGAGGTTTTTCCTCTTCAGAAAGTCATTACCATGTGAGGAAAATGACAACAGTGTTCTCATCCTTGCATGTTCATCTAAATAGTAATTCTGGGCCATCAAGTCAGCTCTGATACGTGCTGAGTGCCAACCCTTTTAATGACTTCTAGGTATAAAATATTCAAGAGATTTACCCATCTTTCTCTCCAGTGGCACTCTAGGCCATGAAGTTTTCTCAAGAATGCACATGTGGCAGATGCGTAACCCTGTCAGTCACACAAACTATAGGTGATCTCACTTGGTCCCTTTTTCAGGAGGCACAGTGGAGACTAGAGCTAGCTTCACAGCTTATGCTCAAGAATTATGCCAGTGTCTTTTGTTGTTGTTTAGTCGTTATGTCGTGTGCAACTCTTCATGACCCCATGGACCAGACCACGCCAGGCCCTCCTGTCTTCCATTGCCTCCCGGAGTTGGATCAAATTCATGTTGGTCGCTGCTGCTATTATCTACTTTTAAAAGAAATGGCCAGAATTCTATTAGCAGAATCAAAGCAACTGTGGGGTGGGGATTCCTTAAAATGTTTAAGTCACCCATAGACTTTTTAACAGTAACTGTTAAAACAGTACTGTCAAAACAGTAAGAAATACATACTTGCATAATCTGCTGTACATACCAGCGTCCGGACAGTGAACATCTGAACTGAAAATGCTGTCACAGAAATTTGTCTGTCATGATCATCACTGATATATTCTCTCTGTAGTGTTTTATAATACTGTAAATACAAGAAAGGTGATTAACTAAGTGGTATATGATACCAGAGATTTGTTTTATAAGGGAGGGAAAATGGCATTCACTTTCTCAGAGCCATGTAAAATTTTATTAATCACTCTTCTCTATCGCTTAGCTATTTTTCTAAAGTAAAAAGGCCCGTATTTTGCAATAATCTTTTTTTTAAAGGAAAGGTGCTACATCCCCGATAATTGTCTTTTCTTACACATTTCTAGTACCACAGTACTCTTTTCAAAAAGTGGAAATCAGAATTTTACACAATACTACACGTACCACTTCAGCAGAGGTATGCACAGGGGCAATAATACAAAGGCAATCATATTTTTAGCTTGCTTTTCTAATAATTCTTAACATGGAATTTAACCTTCACCAGTTCTACAATTTCGATAAACTTTTCTAGTAACAACTTCCAAAAGGATGAGGTTTTTTGGAGACTATAAACTACAGTATTTCATCAGCTGAAAAGGCATATGATGAAGATAATGTTAAAAACCTAATGCAATATTAAATTTGTCAATCTTTAAGGTGCTGTAGTATTCCATTATCTTTTCTGAACCATGAACCATGACCAACATCTCTTTTTATGATAAAACTGATAACTTCAAAAGGGGGGGAGCAGTGAGGTTTATTTAGTGATACGTCATACATGAAATTTAATGAACATATCACATAGATTTTTTTAAAAGCTGGGGAGGAATGGGATTCATATAAATTAGTGATTTAAAAAAAATTAAAGGAAAGGCTAATTCTAGATCCACCTAAATGTCCTGACTTAAAAGGTAACCTGGGAACTACGAATGCATGGCACCCTTTTGAACAGTGCAAAACAGAATTAGATCAAATTATGAAAATGAAAGGTCACTAAATAAATGATTAAAATGTCAGAACTGCCAACGAAGACCTAATACTTTTAAAAAAGTTTTCACAGAAGTTTTCACAGAACCTGTGATGGTCTGTGCAAGCATATCAGACAAAAACTCCAAAAACAAACAAACAAACAAAAAAATGACAATAACATTGTGGCATGTTAAAAGACTAATGATTATAAAGCTGACGTTAAAATATATACTAGTTAGTCCTTAAGGTGCCACAATGTTTGTGTCTTTTGTTTCATTTTGTTTTTGTTACTTTAATCTGGTATACTTTATCTGGGATTCACCACCCCACTCTGATCAACATATGATGCTTAACACATCAGCACCATTATTTTATTTTAACCAAAGCAGATCTAATACCCTTCAAAAGTTGAACATTTTGAGAGGCCAATTGATCAATTAAGTAACAATTTTTCAAAACTCTGAAAAAAATATCTTGTTAATCTGACTTGAAAGACAAAATGAGAGGTAATCTTAAATGCCTTACCTTAACAAATTCCATTGCAAAAAGTTTTTTGTATTCCATTTCCATGAAAAAACTGCTAAAAATTAATTCATGTATGATCTTCCTTGCTCCTGGTTTGGGAAGGGGGGGGAATTAAGAAGTTTAATGCTTGCCCAAAACGAGAACTCCTTTTTTTAAAAGAGAAAAATCAAGAGTAAACAATAAATGAAATTATAAGAAATATCAAATGCCTGGTTAATACTAGATGCTTTCGAAATGCAATTTTTGCATAAATAATGGGGCAAAAGAAAAACTAAACACAAGCTGCAAGTATGGCTGATTGTGGCAATCTTTTGTTGGATGTTTTTCAAAGATTAAAGCAAGAAGCTGCCAATTGGTCAATTAAGTAACAATTTTTCAAAACTCTGAAAAAAATATCTTGTTAATCTGACTTGAAAGACAAAATGAGAGGTAATCTTAAATATCGCATTACCTCCTAACTGGAACAGCTTTAATGCACCAAAACCGACACTGTAAGCTTCATGAATGTATGACTGCAATATGGCAGAGTGGAAAACAAAGCAGATAGAAGATGGCAGAGTCTTAGATTCACCTACTGTTAGAAAAGGAATCATCTTCTACTTTCCACTAATGAAGACTTACTTATTGGTTCCTCCTCACTTTTCTTTTTTTGCCATTCTATCCCATCTATTACAACTTAATAAAACACCATCTGAATGAGAAGGGTCTAATCAGCATTTTGTTTCCCATGTAATTTAAGAAAGAAGCCAAGTAGATCATTAAGATGAACGCCTGGTTCGGCTGTTATTCCTTATCAACCAGTATTTCAGCACAGACTGCCCTTCACAACATAAAAGTCCCATATACTCATCATAATTATTAATAAGCCTTGACAGGCTTTTCTTATTCTGCAAAAGTTTTATTCAAATAAATTAGATGTAGTGATATTTTGGCAACTCAACTAATCTAAATGTCACAATAGTGAAGCAGTATGAGCTGGTACTTCCATACCAACAGCAATAAGCACCACCATTACTCAGCACTATGCAGAATCAGAATTCAATGATGGTGTAAGGAAAGTATGAGTAATTCACTTCATCAAGCTTTTAAAGGCATAAAGGTTTTGTGAAAGTTCCCCACACACTACAGAGAAAATGCCACTCATTAACTTTGCTATGTTACAGTCACAGTAATTTCTCTTAAATCCATGTACCAAATACACCTCCCTAAAAAATGTAAACCTCCCACAAACTCCATTCTTTTAAAAAAAACTGACTCCCAAAGTCTCATTGTTCCATCTGGAGTTCTGTGAGAACATTTATGACACACTTTCAGGAGCTCCTCCCCAGCACGTGGGGGGGGGAGGAGAGAGATGAAAGCCACAAAAATTGTCAATGTTTTTCCTACAACAGAGGGCAAGGGGGGGTGTTACAGTTTTTTTTTAATTAATTTTTATAAGAAACCATTGGGAGGTGGAAGTAGAGGTTCCAGAAGTGCTGCAACTCTCCAAACACTAGGAGTGGGCATTTATGGCCACAGTACTTCTAGAGATTGCCCAACCCTGTCTTGATATTGACACTTAACATTGAAAGAATAAGCTGAATTATTGACATTTGTTAATGAAAGGTCAAGAAGCTTGAGTGATTCAACTCACCTTTATAAAGTCTGGCATCCCAAAGCATTAATTTGCTTATAAGACAAGGTTTCTCTGAATCAGTTTCTTCTTTTAGACATACTTGACAGAAGATCTGACGAAAATCACCTTAGACAAAAGCACATGATTTGAAGGCGAGCATTACTGGATAGTGGATTTAAAATGGCACATCATTTTGACAAAGGACTTTAGCCAATAAGCCTTCAAATATAGGCTCTCTGTTAAAGGAATATGTTTATATCCACACTAGATGAGCTTGACTTCAGCACCTGCATGTTCATTTCTGTCCATTAACCAATAATCAATGCTAGAGAAAACATTTCCACTGCAATCAATGTGTCAGTATAGCAAAATAACTGTTATATTGTATATTAGAGATGTGATTTCAAACCAGGTCTGAATGAAAAATGCCAGGCTTAATATAAAGTCATGAATGAAACTTCTTTACATAATTCACACTTAAGTGATCAAATTGATGGCTCTTGGGACTTTTCCAGACACAGCACCTGTTCCATTTTAATTTGCCTTTTCTGTTGCTTGGTGATAGATTATAGGGTTTACTTGTGCCCTGATAATGGTACAACATTAAGGAGCTCCAACATTATCATCATCATCACTGTGGACTTGGAGATCTTTGTAGATTGTGACTGTGTTCCAGGACTTCACAACAAGCCAGCACTAAACTCATATCTGCTGCTGTCTAGCAAACTTTTGTGCGCTTACTCTTCTGTTGCGTCCTGGTCCTGATGCTGCAGTAGCAGTTTCATGCCTTGGAAGTGCCAAAGCACTGTACTTTCCCAATGGCACAATTCAGCACAAAAATATACTAAGTGTTTAGAAAGGATAAGCTAATAAGGGAACTCATGAAGAAACCAAACAAAGTGAACCAAAACAAGAGAAGCACGATTTAGACACTGAGGAAAATTCAACTTAGATCAGTGCATAACACAGTCCTTCAGGCAGAACCTTCTATGACACTTGGAGAGGTAATGTGGTGTAGGAGATAACCAGTCTAGGATTTAGGAGATCCGGGTTCAAATTCCTGCTTAGCCCTAAAAATCCACTAGGCAGTGACATGGGTTAAAACCATTCCTTAAATATATCACATACCTTGGAAACCCTAAGATTATTTTTTAAAAAGTACCCTCTAAGGAAAAAAGCAGTTGTGGGATCCCAATCCAGAACAAGATTCTGACCCAAAATAATGACAGAGCTGCTGATGCTACCGAAGAGGTTCATTACTATATTCAGATCTATTCTGTTGAAACGTGCTGTAAAGGGTGTAAGAGCTCTGTCATAGAATAACAATGGTAGAAACAACATGGATGATAATTGTACAGTGGTGCCTCACATAGCGATCGCTCCAGTGAGCGACGAAATCGCTTAGCGACGGAGTATTTGCGATCGCAAAACCGATCACTTTGCAATGGTCCCTCCCTATGGGGTTTTTTCACTTTGCGATGATCACAGGGAAGTGATCATTGCAAAACGACCCTTTTTTAACAGCTGATCGGCTTTTTCAAAATGGCCGCCCGCTGTTTTTCCTTGCTTAAGAGGCAGCGAAAATGGCGGCGCTATGGAGGATTTTCGCTTAAAGGTGAGTTTTTAAGCCCATAGGCTTTTTAATTTCACTTAGCGATGTTTTCGCTTAGCAACGTTTTTTCCGGAATGGATTAACGTCGCTAAGCAAGGCACCACTGTACTAAGAAAACTGGCTTTTAAAAGGTGTTAATGATCTATAAGATCCACCGCCTTGTTGTTAGCCAGGCTTTCTAAGGCTAGAAAGACTTAAAAGGTGCTAATGATCTATAAGACAGAGTTCAGGGACAGAGTTGTTGCTGCTTTCCATAGAGGCTGATCACTCTGTCTTTTAGAGTAGAGATCACCAACCCCGGGTCCCCGGCCTGGTGCTGGTCCATGGCGAAGACAGACCTCACACACACACCCCACACGCACTCCCCTCCCCACAGCTACTTTGCGCACATGCCAGGGGCGGCGTGAGCGCTCCCCCCTTTGCGCATGAGAAGGGGCGCCTGCACACACGCGCATTCCCCCACTGTGCTTCATGCATGAAGGGGTTCACATGCCTGCGTGTAGGTGTCCCTGCCCATGTGCCCGAGAACACGCATGCCCCCATGCGCACCTGCAGGGGAGTCCCCCCCACCTTTCTCAGAGGCTCAGGCGATCCACGGTCCCAAAAAGGTTGGGGACAGCTGTTTTAGAGAACAAGAAGGTAGGCAGCAGAAATGAAGGACGTGGGACAGGTTGCAGGAGACTTCAGGCCACCACTGGTGTTCCAGGAACCACATGTGCTACACAAAGATTTTAGCCACTTACTCGAATAGCTCATAAGTTTGTTTAACCAGGAACCAAGGCGTAAAGCAAATTTCTGGTGAGCCATAATATCAGCATGAAGAACCTTCACATTAAGTGGACCTTGGGAAACATTGCTTGAATGTTTCTAGAAGATAAAAACAGTCAATATTTGAATGAAAGGATATTATGCAGTTCTTCAATCTTTCCAGGTTTTTTTCTTATTTGCTAGCACTACATGCTTAATTCAGACCTATTAAAATTCAAGGCAATTTCAATCTAACAATTGAGGTATATCAATCAAATATTTAAAAAAGGTGAACTCCAAATGTTTTTTCAAGTATCAGCATTATGATCAAATAATGGAATAATTACACAGTTTTATCTTTACATCTTTTAGATATTTCAGCAAGTTACCTTGATCTCTTCTTTTGCCTCCTGACAAGCAACATAGGGCCCTTTCTTAACTGCCTTTCGACCCTGTATAATTTAGAAAAAGGTAATATTCTTAAATCAATGATGCCAGAACTTTGTGTATGTGAGTAAAGGCAGCACTGAAGTAGAAAACAGTTATGAAGGCTTTAAATGCCAAGACAAATTAAAATAGTACACACAGTCAATGTTTTTAAAAAATTAATGTAAGAGTTTGAATTAGCCTTTTGTAGTAACACACACAAACACACATAGGCGTACAATAATAGGACTGGGTTTTTCAACTAAAAAAGGACCACACTGCAAAATGCTAACTCTTACTACAGACATTATTAAATTCTATTTCTATCCAAATACACAAAATTAAAATGAGCATTTCAATTATTTATAAAAGGTAAAGGTTCCCCTTGACAATTTTTGTCCAGTCGTGTCCGACTCTAGGGGGCGGCGCTCATCCCGCTCTTCAAGCCATAGAGCCAGCGTTTGTCCGAAGACAATCTTTCCGTGGTCACATGGCCAGTGTGATTTAGACACGGAACGCTGTTTACCTTCCCACCGAGGTGGTCCCTATTTATCTACTCACATTTGCATGCTTTCAAACCGCTAGGTTGGCGGGAGCTGGGACAAGCGACGGGTGCTCATTCCGTTGCGTGGATTCGATCTTACGACTGCCGGATCTTCTTACCCTGCAGCACAGGCTTCTGCGGTTTAGCCCACAGCGCCACCACGTCCCTCTCAATTATTTATAACTACAACCTATTTCTTTCAATTCCAACAAAAGGCTTTGCAACCAAAAGCACTGAACTAACACAGTATTTGAGTGTGTTGTCAATGGAGCCATTAAATAGCAATGGGAAAACTGAAAAAGAAAACCAGTGTAACAGTTTCCGATAGCACTGTCAATGTCTTCCACATTACAATTTATTCCTTTGCCCCAGCCCTGTTAATAAAAGTATTCTCTTGCTATGTTAACTTGTGCCTAAATCTATTTAGTTTAGGATCTATGGATTCCTATCATGCTACCACACACAACCCTTTTCTTTTGGTGATGTTCCAATTTATTTCATAAGATGCCTTGTGGTGGCTTTGAAGTAGAGAATAGACAGGGAAACAGGAGTCCTGGATAAAGAAGAAGTGGTTGCCAAAGTGAAAAGAGAGCTCTACTGTGCTGCCACTGGCCTGTAAAGATTACTTCTCAAATAATCACTGCTTAAACGTACACATTTTGTCTAGGAGTCTTCAGCAAGAAAGATCTATACATTTCATATCATTACCTTGAAACAAGGGTCACAATAATAAGTGTAACAGGAAATGTTACAGGAATCTTCTGCTAAGTTATTATTATTATTATTATTATTATTATTAAGTAATATAATAGGACCACTGAAATCATACTCCACCACTGGGCAATGTGGTGGAATACAGGAGATGTGTGGGAAGTTGTGGTGCCCTGTTTGTTTCTGTCTTTTCATGGAGATCAAACTACTGAGCATTACAATTTATCATATGTACCACAGTACTTCAATACACAATATCTGGCTTTATATCTTTTAGAATATGGGACACTTGTAGCAGAAATGGTGCATGCTGGATAGCTTAGTGAGTCAGGTACCTGGTTATGCAACCAGAGGTTAGGAGTTCAATTTCCCGCTGTGTATATGAGAGGAATCAGGCTTCTGCGGTTTAGCCCACAGCGCCACCACGTCCCTCTCAATTATTTATAACTACAACCTATTTCTTTCAATTCCAACAAAAGGCTTTGCAACCAAAAGCACTGAACTAACACAGTATTTGAGTGTGTTGTCAATGGAGCCATTAAATAGCAATGGGAAAACTGAAAAAGAAAACCAGTGTAACAGTTTCCGATAGCACTGTCAATGTCTTCCACATTACAATTTATTCCTTTGCCCCAGCCCTGTTAATAAAAGTATTCTCTTGCTATGTTAACTTGTGCCTAAATCTATTTAGTTTAGGATCTATGGATTCCTATCATGCTACCACACACAACCCTTTTCTTTTGGTGATGTTCCAATTTATTTCATAAGATGCCTTGTGGTGGCTTTGAAGTAGAGAATAGACAGGGAAACAGGAGTCCTGGATAAAGAAGAAGTGGTTGCCAAAGTGAAAAGAGAGCTCTACTGTGCTGCCACTGGCCTGTAAAGATTACTTCTCAAATAATCACTGCTTAAACGTACACATTTTGTCTAGGAGTCTTCAGCAAGAAAGATCTATACATTTCATATCATTACCTTGAAACAAGGGTCACAATAATAAGTGTAACAGGAAATGTAGTGGCCTGGCTGCCAGATGGTACAGGGTATAAATCTAATAAATAATAATAATTTAGTTTCTCATCAATTGTTTCTTCTTCCATTTTAGCTTCTTCTCTTTGTCATTTTTTTAGCATTTTCAATATATTTAATTTGTTCCTTAAGTTTCTTATTTTCTTCTGAATTTCTTCTTGTTGCTTATGGTGTTTGGCCTCCAAGTGCTCTGTGTAGTATGCATGAGCATGTCTGACTGACTGCAACAGATTCATATCAATTGCAATAGATGCAAGTCCTCCACAGTTCAAGATAGCATGGTAAATCTGATGTTGATAGACACATTTCTTCAAGAACAGGCCCTATTCTGATGATTCCAAGATTTGGCTTGTATAAATGATAGTAGAATGTAATGCTGATAGGCCACACACCTCCTTGAACTTCAAAGAACTTCTCTCAATTAGCTTTTCAACAGCTACTACCATGTTTTGACACTCTAGGCAAAACTCAGCCACTTGACATTTACTCAGTTTCATTTTTTAACAGCTTTTTTGCTGCAAAGCCAATGTCAACCTTACTTCTCCTCAAGCAAGTTCTCTGATAACTTCATGTCAATTGTTAACAACTGGAACCAGTAGACATGTTTTGCAGCTTTTCTGATTTTATGTAACGACTCATTAGCTTCCTGATTAACTTACAAAGTTCTTCATACAAAAAAGGTGCCAATGGTTTTTCATTTTGAAACTGCTCACAATCTCCAGCAATTGTTTTCATGAAAGCCAATTTGCACTTCATGAGTGGATCTTGCATTGCAGCTTTTATACAAATTGCAGTTTTACTGTGGGAGAGTTCTGCTTCTTCCACATACTTCTTGATGTTGTCAAAAACAGTCATAGCTCTATCAAGGCACTTAACATTCTCCAACCACCTAAGGGAGTAAAACTTCAGGGGAAATAGTGTGCTTCCAGTCATAGCAGTGTACATGCCCTCCTAGCTGGGGAATCTTCGAACAGCTCATACATGTTGCGCAAGACTGAATTCCAGCCCCATTTCACTGCTTGCAATCCTGTTTTAAAAGACCCATGTACAACATGAAGGGTACAAATTCTAAAGTCAATCAATTATTTTTCTTCTCCTTTACAGTCAAGGTTGGTTTTAATTTCTTTTAGTTTTCTCGGAGAAAGATGACTTACATTTGGCCATCCACAGATACTTGTAATAATTTTGTAACTGATAAAGACATGCCTTCTTTAAACTTCTGAAAAAGGCCTTTACCAGTAGCAGCCTGAAGAAAAACCGTGTGGAAACTTTATGACAATAATCATCCCAAAAACAAACCACTAAATCCATCTGTTCCTTTTGAACCACCTTATTCAAAGCTTCATCAAAACAGATAACAAATGTTTACTGTTTCAGCTGTTTCAGTAAAAAATCAGAGAAATACGGTGCCAAACAAAAGCAACAACATGCAGTGCTTTTGTTTTTCCAAGATGAAACTGTTGAGCTATCTGGCTATCTGACAACACTCACTTGAATAATTCACCGACATTGTTACAAGAGTTAAATGACATCTCCTTCATCACCAGTTGCAAAGCTCACAGGCACTCTGCTGCCCTAACACAGCCCTTAATAACATAGGCAGTCATACTAGTTTGTGTGGTTGGTAATTCTTTGTCATTTTCAACACTGTGATAATGTTTTCCAGTTTTCCCAGGTGCTGTCTCTTCGTCCTCTCTGGTTTTACTATCCGAACTTGTACTTGGGTTTGAACCTAAACATATTCCGATGGACCATTTACTTGATTTAATTTTCAGGTTTTTCTGATGTAATGGTCCTTGTGCATGAGACTCCACAGCTCTAATTCCCATATTACTTAGTTCAAAGGCTTTGTAGCACAGTTTACAATAACCTTTGCATTTGTCTTCATTCCATGGTGATAGCCATGGAACCAAGTCAGCATGAAGTTTGAAATTCAGCCACTGCATATTAAAAACTGTCCTCTTAGAAGCCATCTTCAAAATGCGGTTTCAGATACAGCTGTACACAGAACCACCTGGCTGACACCAAGATCTTAGCAGATTTGTTTTGGGGCAAGTAGGAACTTTCCAAAGCTGAGGCGCAGCAAGAAAGGAGGTGGAGTTTAAATGCTTACAGATCAATTCTGCAATCTAGAGAAGAATACAACCCTCATTCGCAACCTTTATACATGGGAGAAGTCAGGGAAGAGGGTGAGAGAGCTGGTCCTAAACTCCAGCAGGAACAAGCAATCACATTTGGAAAATTTACTTTGCATGGTGCGAAGTAAAAAGTGCTAGCTGACTGTGAAATCCAACAGCAGAAAAATTCATTTGCAACTCTGCTGGGTTTAGCAGGAGACAAAACATCAATTCCATACACAAACATGACCCAAAAACATGCTTATCTTTATTCATAAGTTAAATGCAGTACTAGCAGGTAGGGATGAAAATAGTTAGATGTTTAAAGTCTGTATTTTGCTAAATGTTTAAACCAGCCTTGCTTCGCAAATGCTACAGACAGACTTTGGAAATCATGCAGGGACTGAACTCAACAAACATATTAAGCTGGTTGCTGGGGGTGGAGCTGAGAAAGGGCATCATTAATTTTTACTTTCATTCTGCTACTTCTCTATTCCAGTTACCACAAGAATAGATCATGCTCTTGGCAGCAGCAGGTCAAAAATCCACTTCTTGAAAATATATTTTAATCACAATTTCTCTGACTTCAGACCAATTTCCCTGACAAATTTCCACTTCCCTGACTTTCCCTGACTTCCCAGAAAGTGGCAACCCTGATGGAATGCACCATCAACATATGACTCATGGAAAATGAATGAGCTCATTTAAATTTCAATAGCCCATGATGCAAATATTTATTATTTAAATAAAACCGAGTATGATGGCTTCTCTTTCTTTGGAGTACTGGGGATCTAATGTCAGTTCCTAAAAGAACACCACCACCCCCTGAAATGAGTGGCACTTGCCAGGTAATTTAAGTTCCACTGAATTCAATGGATAAATTCTAGTTGGTATGAACACTGGATTTAGCCTTAAATTGCTTCCCTCTGTTCAGAGACATAAATCTGGAGGTCTTGCTCCTAAATTCTCACCTAGCATGGTCTAAAACCTTTGTCATCCAAACAGAAATGCATATGAGATACCTTAACATACTCAAAAGGTTCTCCCCTGTAGTTGTTCATTAGAGAATATTCACCCCTCATTTAATTCACCATGTTTTGAAGCACAATGGAGACAAAGACAGGGAAGCACATAAGAGATTTTACAAGGATGCAACAGATAAAGAACTTTGACTTGTTTCTCAACGGCTAAAGCAGCACATTTCCTAGCCTGTATGTAAGTATTATAAGAATCACAGAATCAGAGACTTGGAGAGGACCCCAAAGGATCTGCATTAAGTTTAATCCCCTGCTGAAGCAGCAAAAACTCCTGCCAAGATAGGACATCTATGAAAATTAGAAAGTTGGGAATCAAATAATTTCTTATCTTCAGTGCTAAACTGTTATGGAACATGATGGCAAGGCTAGAGCCAATGTACAGTCATGTGAAAAAGAAAGCACACACCCCTTTGAATTCTATGGTTTTATGTATGAGGACATAATAAAAATCATCCAGCCTTTCACAGGTCTGAATACAACCTCAGATGAACAGCAGCAACACATGACATAGTGTGTCATGGCTTTACAAAAAAAAATTTAATTAAAAAAATGGAGAAGCCATGTAAGACATACGAAGTATACCCTTACTGCTTCCATGGGAATTAAGAAGCTAAGTAGCAGCAAGATGCTGCTAACCAAATAACCTTGAGTTAATGAACTGATCATCATCAAGTGTGACCACCTCTATAAAAGCCTAAGTTCTAGCAGTTTGTTGGTCTGGAGCATTCAAGTGTGTGTTAACACAATGCCAAGGGGGAAACACATCATCAGTGATCGCAGAGAAGCAATTCTTGCTGCCCATCAAACTGGGAAGGGTTATAAGGCCATTTCCTAAAAATGTCAAGTCTATCATTTTACAGTGAGGGATATTATTCAGAAGTGGAAAACATCCAAGATAGTTGTCAATCTTCCCAGGAATGGACATCTAAGCAAATTAACCCCAGGATCAGACTGTGCAATTGAGTCAACCATGAACTCCTCTGTATACTGAAATACTCTAGAGTCAAATGTGAAGCCATCGGTCCAACAGTTAAAGCTCAGCTGAAATTGGGTCATCCAACAGGACAATGATCCCAACCACACCAACAGAATGGCTGAATAAATAAAAGAATCAAGGTGTTGCAATGACCCAGTCAAACTCCAGATCTCAACCTGATTAGAATGCTGTTGCAGGTGCTTAAGACCTGCATAAACAAATACCCACAAACCTCAATGAACTGAAGCAACATTATAAATAAGACTGGGCCAAAGTTCCTCTCTAACAATGTAAGAGACTGATAAATTCATAAAGAAAACGATTACCTCACGTTATTGCTACTAAAGGTGGTTCTACAAGCTACTGAATATTAAGGTGTACTTAGTTCTTCCACACATGGCATCTCCAGTTTAGCTTTATTTTTGGAAAATAAATCATGACATTGTGTAATATGTCACATGTTGTTCATCTGAGGTTGTGTTGTTGTTTAGTCATTAAGTCGTGTCTGACTCTTCATGATCCCATGGACCAGAGCATGCCAGGCCCTCCTGTCTTCCACTGCCTCCCGGAGTTGGGTCAAATTCATGTTGGTATCTTCGATGACTGTCCAACCATCTTGTCGTATGTTGTCCCCTTCTCCTCCTGCCTTCACACTTTCCTAACATCAGGGTCTTTTCCAGGGAGTCTTCTTTTCTCATGACATGGCCGAAGTATTGGAGCCTCAGCTTCAGGATCTGTCCTTCAAGTGAGCACTCAGGATTGATTTCAGAGTGCTCACTGGAAGGACAGATCTGAGGTTGTATTTTTCAGATCTACTAAGGAACTAAGGACCAGCTGATTTTTATGTCCTGATAAATAAAACTATAGAATTCAAACAGAATGTACTCACATGACTGTATTTAAATAACCTGGTAATCTTACAAGGTTCTTTTTATTTGGTTTGGTTTGATTTGATAAATAAATTCAATTTACATCTCTTCACTGACCCAGACTGTACCATGTGTAAATCATAAAACTGCATACTTCTCACTCATTGATTCAATGTGGCTTTCCCAGATATCAATGACTTTGCCTCATTAAACTGGAGCATTTCACAATTTCCAATTATTATTTTCTAAAGCTTCATCATTACCAGTTAGCGAGAAATGAAGGGAGAACACAAACACATCACATACCTATTCATAAGCTCTGGAGGCAGCTCCTTCTCTTCTTCCCAAACAGTCATATCTACAATATATTTTACCACTGCAGGAAAGATTTTTCTTGCTTGTGCTATTAGCTCTTCATTTAATTGACATTCTAGGTTCTATGGAAAGCAATAAAATTATACTAAACACATATAAGGATACATACTATATAGAAATAAAGTATTAACAGCATTATGTATAACTTAATAACTGTTACAGAAAAGGACAAACATTCCATTATTCATCCACTCAATAGAGAGGACAGAATATATGCTTTGTCATTACCACCCAAGAGATGTATGTAATAAAAGCCCAAGCTAGCTGATATGGTCTCAGAGGTCTTGGTGAAAAATCCTGCAATGGTTGTTCTAGGAATGCGAGAATCTGCAATGAGACCTTCTTTGGGGAACCTGCTTAGATTTTCATACCTGCAAAGATAACCATGTACTGTATCAGTATGTCATCAGCCTGACACACTCTAGGACTCATTCTTGATCTGGTACTTAAGATAGAATTCTGGTTTACTTCCTACAGAAGTGTCTAGATTCCAGTCTACTCAAATTCTGTGAGATACATTTCAGCTGAGGCAGTCTAATGATCTGGAGGAATTTGATCAATCTTCTGTGTCCCTGCTTGTTTTAGCTACCCTGTTTCCCCAAAAATAAGACCTAACCTAACCTGAAAATAAGCCCTAGTATGATATTTCAGGGTGCTCACAATATAAGCCCCACCCCAAAAATAAGCCCCAGTTAAGTGAAACACCACCCTCCACCATTGTGCAGCAATCAAAAGATGACATGACTGTAAAATAAAACATCCCCTAAAAATAAGCCCTAAAGCGTTTTTGGAGCAAAAATTAATATAAGACCCTGTCTTATTTTAGGGGAAACATGGTATTAAGAGGAAGTCAGAAGGGACTGGGTAGAACCAGGAGCTAATTACTGCCTCTCTACAAGAGAGAAAGTTCTAATAGCCTTGGAGGAGACAGCTGTGATTGAAGCTACTCTTTAAGAAATCGTTGGACTTGGGAAACTACTACTGCTCAACTCCTAATATCTTCCTATTGATGAAAATACTTCAATAGGTGGCAATGGTGCTCCAACTCCAGACTTTACTAGAAAAAATGTATAAGCTGTCTTAAGGACCGTCAGAAGCTGCAGACCCCAAGTCAGAGGCAAGGATGCCAGCCCTTGATTGTCAGAAGCTCTGTTTTTCAAAGCTCTGCTGGGTTGGTCTGTCTTGCCAGTTGAGAGACAATGAAATGAGTATTTTCTGGAGAGGACTGTTTGGAAGGCAGAGAATGGCTGAGATGATTGTTTACCAGGAAGCTGAATGGAAACGGGCTCAAGGTTGATGGAGAGGCTTCTTCGAAGCTGAAGATGAGGACAGTTAAACTTATGACTAAGGCAACACTTGGACTTCAGAGACTTTTACCTGGTGTGTAATCTCTGGATCTGTTCACAGAAGTTTCACTTTGTGCATTTGGCTGCAGGAATTAGATGGTGCTGGTGCGTGCCTTTAAAGCACTAAACAGCTTGGGATCCAATTATTTGAAGGAAAACCTTTTCCATATCAATATGTCTGTATCATTAGTATTTTAAGGAAACTCTTCTCTCTATAACTTTAGTAAGGGATATATAGTACAGTGGTGCCTCGCTTAACGATTGCCTCGTTTAGCGATGAATTCGCATAACGATGTGGTTTTTTAGAAAATAATATGCCCCATACAAGGGGCAAAAATGGTTTTAAATGCTTGGAATAGCTTCTGCACCTTCTAAAACGGGTGCAAATGTAATTTGGCTTTGATCTGACTTTTCGTTAATTAATGGTGAATTTTTTCCCCCCAACTTTTGACAGCTGTCAAAATCTGACAGCTCCATTATTTCCTATGGGGGAAGAAAAAATTCATAAAAAATTAGCGAAGACTCAGCAACTGTTCTAAATGCTTGGGTTCGTTAGAGGACCCCCTAAATCATGTGCAAACCTGATTTGGCTTTGATCTGACTTTTCGTTAATTTATGGTGATTTTTTTTCCGGCCCATAGGAACCAATGGACCTGTCAAAATCTGACAGTTCCATGCTTTCCTATGGGGGAGAAAACAATTCACCATAAATTAACGAAAGTTCAGATCAAAGCCAAATCAGGTTTGCACATGATTTAGGGGGTCCTCTAACGAACCCAAGCATTTAGAACAGTTGCTGAGTCTTCGCTAATTTTTTATGAATTTTTTCTTCCCCCATAGGAAATAATGGAGCTGTCAGATTTTGACAGCTGTCAAAAGTTGGGGGGAAAAAATTCACCATTAATTAACGAAAAGTCAGATCAAAGCCAAATTACATTTGCACCCGTTTTAGAAGGTGCAGAAGCTATTCCAAGCATTTAAAACCATTTTTGCCCCTTGTATGACACATTTAAAATTGCAAAAATTGACTTTGCAAAGCCATTGAAATGTATTGAGTCAGCTACAATACATTCTAATGGAGGAAACATTGTTTCGCTTAGCGATGTTTCCTATGGGTTTTTTCACTTAACGATGGCAATCCGTTCCAATTGGAACGGATTAACCGGTTTCCAATGCATTCCTATGGAAAATGGTGTTTCGCATAGCGATGATTTCACATAGCAATGTGTTTTTTGGAACAAATTAACATCGCTATGCGAGGCACCACTGTATGTGATGAGTGTCTTTTCTGTAGTGATGCCTGATTATGGCATTCTCCCTTCACAGAGTCATGTACTGATTTATGAAATGCTTTCAGATTGCCATCGTTAACGTCATGTACTGATTTATGAAATGCTTTCAGTAGAAGGTTAAAATATTTTTATTCACACAGGCACTGTGAGGTCAAGACTTCTTTATTATTTTAGCAGTCACTCAATGGTTTTAAGACAATGACTTTATTTTACTATACATTTTGTCTTGGATTTCAAACTTGGTATGTTTGATTTTCTAGTAATTACACCCAGTGTGGCACAGTGGATAGAGTGGCACACTAGGACTCAGGAGACGTGGGTTCTAATCTCAGCTCTGTCAGGGAAAGTTTTTGGAAGGTGGAATTGGTAAAACCACTCCTCAAATATCTCATTTATCTCCAAAGTTCTATTAGGGTTGCTGTTAGTCAGTTCTGACTTGACAGCACACAACATTTATTACACGTATATTACCTCTCCTGCATTGCCCACTGCTCGAGGCTCATGAATTGCACACAGCGGTCCAGTCTTCCATGCTTCTATATCTCCACAATCACAAAATCCTCCTCCAGTGGAAGTATGCATCTGAAATAAGTAAAGACCATCTAATACAACATCAGACTCCTTTTTTGACATAATGCTGAACAAAAAGCAGTTTAAGCTATAGGGTATGGAAACAATATAAATTTTGTTCAAACCATTTCAAGCTATTATTATATACAGAGTTAGGTATATAAATTGATTAAATAAAATCAACAAAATAAACAAGCCAGAATCAGAAGCTAAGAGCCCACTGTCCCAGAAAATATTGGAGTGTCAAAGTCTCAGCAATCTAACATAGGGAAACATTGTCCTTTATATAAAATCCAGCATATTTGACTTCAGCTTCTCTAAAACCAAAGGCTTCAAAGTTGGTGGAAAAATTATTTTGAAATTTTAGAATGGCCTTACCCTTATGAACTTTAATTGGTGTTGACATCTTTATTTCTAAAGATGGGTTCCTATTTTCAAATAGGTTAGTAATAACCTTTATTTCTTTAAAAAATATTTTCCCCAAGCACACTACCTGAAAAGGTACTACTTTGAAGCACACATTTTCTTACCTTATAACGATGATTTTTGTGAACACTGTTCTGGAAACAATCCATACAAAGTACACAAGTTGGATCAATTGCACACTCTCTGTAACAAAGAAAAAGTGGTGCTGTTGAATAGAAATCAATGCTTCTAAACCCCACCAAAGTCTCATGTCTCAGCTCCATAACTAGAAATTGTTAAGCTTAGGCACCATGGCACTCAACAATAAATAAAAATTCCTGGCTTGTCCTAACATGCAGTGAATAAAAAGGTGTGTTGACATAAGAAAATAATTTGCTTATGATTTGCTTTTCCATACAGTGAATGGACAGAACAAATCTCAATGCATGAGATCATTACAGACAAACATTAAAAACTATAATTTGTTCTAAGCAAATATAGTTAACAACCTAGAATATCCACCACTGGTTTGATCCACCATTTGTTAACTCTGACAGGATAAGCCACAACTGGCAACTTCAGATGTAATATGAAATTAAAGTTTGTTCATAATGAAGTTGGTTAACTTTCACTCTCCTCTTCTTACCAGGGCTGAGACTCATCCTCACTCATCTAGAAATGGCACAGATCAGATCTAAACAAAATTTGGCCTTCCAGACACTGGACTGAAATTCTTTTTGTCCCTTACCACCAACTATGCTCAACAGAACTGATGGGAACTGCAGTCTGCTAACTTTGGCACAATTTGTTTGTTTGTTTGTTTTTATTTTATTTATTTATATCCCGCCTATCTGGTCAATTTCGACCACTCTAGGCGGCCTATCCAAATTCAGTCACCATTTGCAGTGGAACCAACGTTTCTTCCCAAATCTCTCTTCAAAAATGTTTCTTAATATATATGTAAAGTCAATAAAATCCATCCCTTATGTTAAACAGGTACCTATGAAACCACTTGTGACTCGTGATCATGTCCTCCAAGGTTACTGACTACTAAGTTTGAGTTTCCCTCTCTGGAAGCCTACCAGAAAACCTGGATTTGTGAAAGAACCATCATCTTCATATTCTTACAAGGAGTCCAGATTCAGACTATGCCCAAAAGGCCCAGAAATGTCTTTCTCTTGAAAGCTCCTTTAATGAGTTACTCCCAGATTAATGCTTTCCTTGCTCATTTTATCTTAAAAGCGAGTGACCATTTCTGAATTTTTCCCTGCACTGTCCCTTTTACAACTGTAACTAAACTGGAAAGTGGATTTGATTTCACATTGCCGCCTAGCCTGGCAGTTGGTTTCACACCTATGCTAGCTCCATCAACCTGCTTTTAAAGAGATTAAAGAGGCCCCTGGGAAATAAGTCCATCCTCCCACAAAAATGGGCAGCCCATTTTTTCATCATTTCCTGATGCAAGAGTTACTAAGGACAAAACCAGTGCTATCTTTGAGGGACATATATCTTCCAGAGTTGGAAGTACATACACACTGGTTAGTCACACTATTTTACAATAGCTGTGAACAGTAGTTAAAACTAATACAACTCAAAGGCTTTCTTTAAAAAAATTGGAAGGCCTGTACAACTGCTTTCCATTTTACTTTGAACTAAAAGCCAATTCTCTCTCCCCATAAGCCATTACTCCACCAAAACCTTAAATGGTCCTCATCTTAATGATGGCATCAGAAAAAACAGACATAATGATCCATATATATATATGGATCAAACAACTGATGAAGTGCACACTGCTATGTCACACTGCGGAAGAAACAGTCAAGGATAATAATACTACTAGTACTCACCTGCAGGAATATGTTGTCTCTCCACCTTTAAACACCTTCCCACAGAGTTGAGGAGTGCTACTTTGTCTTAGCTTCTCCAGACAGATATCTGGATCTTCCCCAAACAGATACCATTCCAGGGGATAAAGTATGCTCATTTGAGCCATTTCTTCCTCCTTCTCAGTCATGGGATCCATTTCATCAGAATATATGTCTGGAACAACTTTTGCCAAATGTTGAAGAAAGGCAGCACAAAAATCCAGCTTGTCATCCCACCACTGCAGGAAATGGGATAGCATAGATATTTAGAAAAAAGAAAAAAGTAAGAATTTCAACAAATAACATTTTGCATATGATAAAATTAATTTTTTAAAATCAAAATACAAAAGAAATTGTAGTTTAGAAATGTATGATTTTGGAACAAAGTACAGAAGGGTATCCACTGCAGCAATATCTGACCTCAGACCATTGTAGTTCTGTTACAGCTTATAGGTCACTCCATATGATCTGTACAGTGATAGCAGCACATACATACAGTGGTGCCTCGACTTACGACCATTTTGAGTTACAACCAACTCTGACCGCAAAATTTTGCTTCAACTTGTGGCCGGAAAAAGGCAGGGAAAAGGCAGGAAACTCAAATTGCTAACCATTGGTAGGCGAATGGCTGCTTCTTTGTAGCTCTTTTGCCCCAGCGGTTAGAGCAAGCATGATCGGAGGAGGCTTTGGACTGCCTTGTAAGGTAGGGTGCTGCTTTCTGCTTTTAAAAACTGTTCTAGGTGGGGTTTGCAGCGTGGTTTTGTACTGGGGGTTATGTTTCTGTGCTATGATGGGTCTTGGTGGGTTTGTTTCTTGGTTCCCCCCCATTTCTGATGGGTCTTGGGGGGGTTGTTTTTTGGTATTTTCCCCATTTCCAATGGGTCTTGGGGGTCTTTGTTTGCTTTTTGGGCGGTTTTCCCCATTTCCGATAGGTCTTGAGTGCTTCACTTGCTATCTGCTTTGCTTTCCCCCATTTCCGATGTGTCTTGCACGCTTGGCTTGGTTTTCTTTTTTTTCCCCCCTTCGGCCAGAAAGGATCAATCACGTTTCTGATTGGTCTTGCAGTGTTGTTGGTTTTTTGTGTGTGGTTTTCTTCTTCTGATGGAACGGATTAATTGCATTTCAATGCATTTCAATGGGAAATTGTGCTTTGACTTATGACCTTTTCGAGTTACGACCATCTTCCAGAATGGATTAAGTTTTTTAGTCGAGGCACCACTGTATTGCTAGAAGACATAGTGTGTGACATAACATTTATGCCATAAAGCAGGGAGCTCCAAAGTTTTGACTGTGAGGGACACACCAGATATTTTCATCATTTTTGAGGGCCAAAAGAAACAGGAACGTGCATGTACATGTGGCCACCCGCCCGCACCCCCACCTGCCCGCACACACACGCACCTGCCTCCTGCTCCCACCTGCATGCATGCACACTCCTACATGAGCATGGCCTGAAGGGAACGGGCCACGTAAAACAGCAAGGCAGGCCAGATGTGGTCTGTGGGCCGTAGTTTGGAGACCCCTGCCGTAAAGTGTCAGTTACACAACTGCTGCATGGTTGTTGCACAGTTCAAGTTTGGTATACTTCTAAAGCACTAGAGACTTTGTTTAATTTGGCCTTCTCTCCTTATCCCTTTATTGGATGAAAGAAATATACCTTTGCTTGGAAAACATACACACAGAGGAAGAGAAGTCTGATCAGTCAGCCACCCATGAAACACAAAACGTAACAATAGTTCTGTTAGATATTTTCACAACTAGTTGAACAGACATGGCTTTTATCCATCATAGCAACCGTTGATACTGAAGCTTGCACAGAGCTCATTGTCAAAATTTTACAAGTAAACAGGAATTCTTTCTGATCTAGCAAAACCTTTTCCAAACCCATTCTCCAAAATGGAAATTTCTAAGAGAGCCATAACTGACCAAGATGCTAGAGTAAGTGTATGGGTTTAATAGATTTCTGGATTTGTGCTTCAGTTCATTTCGCTACTACCCAAGGCTGCTTCTTCTACAATGTGGTTGCTTAACAATGATTACATCAAATTAAATATCTGGAGCAAGGCAGAAATTAACTCATCTCAATAACATAATCATCACTTTTTCTTGTTAAGGGCCTATAACAAATATTGCCTCCCCAAAACTTAGTTTCTCATTTGGCAACCTATACTATTCTACCTATTGATTCCTTTCCATCTGTCAACCTTTAACTCACAGATTTGTTCCTTTCCAGAAACACCAATAAGATTTTTACTTGGCAGCAAAAGGAATTTCAGTAAACTGCTCCTTTGGTATTAAATAATCCATGCCCACACTTCAGATTCTTCAAACTATGTGCAAGCACCACAAAATGCAGCTAAGATATCACATCCCTCAGGGAAACATTAAATATAATGATACAAACTGTGACCATAGTAGGTCTGCATCCTCTACATTGAAAAACAATGTGACAACATCCAGAGAAGAGAATAAAAACACATAACTGTAACTATCTTTGCTAGGAAGAAGCATGAAACTGTCTGGACATGCTGGTTTAGCGGGGAAATAAGACTATGGCTGTAACTCTATAAGAACTCAACTTGGTGAAAAGCTATTGAACGCTTGCTTCTCAATAGCTATGCACAGGACTTAGATTTATGCTGCTATAAAAAGAAAAGGCATCATAAAAGATAGCTGTAATAATAATACTAATAAAAGGGATCTCCTCTTCTTAACAAAGCCCTCTGAAACCAGATTGTCTGTTCTTACTAAGAGCCTGTCCAGACTGGGGAAGCTGGAGCAGTCTGGTTCATGCTTTAAAACATTCTTATCTTTAGTGCAATCTATTTTATTCTTCTCCTGTGGGAAAGGTCCAGACAGGTCTTTGGATCACACCAATCTGTCCTTTCAATTAATGACACTCCCCTTCCCTGCCTTTTTCCACAGCCATAATTCAGCAGGTCACAGCAACTTCTTTTTCTTAGTTAAATAAAGTAACTTACAGAGCAAAACATTAGAGCGTCTAGCTAGCATGGTGCACATAATACCACCAATGTATCTTGTTTACTGCTCTTATTTTAAAGGAGGAAAGGGTGCTTTTCTCTTTTTTTAATGAAAGGAGAAGGAGAGAGAGGAATTAAATTCATAAAGAGTCTGAGTTGAGGAGAAGAAAGTATGGCAAAATCCACCCATCTCCATTATGCAACAACCAGGCCAGCAGAAACTTGAAAAATCTCAGAAAATCATCCATAGAGATAGAAAGGTCTAAAATGCCCATCAATTTTGGCCTCTCACCATGATACAAAAGCAAAGTGTCATGATTTCAATGTGGGTAATCAAGTGTTGGTCCTCAGTCTGGTGAAGCAATAATTAGCTCCAAACAATGTGAGGAGGTCCTTTTGTGAAGAAAAAATGTAAGTGCTGCTTCACTGAACGATTTAGAACTGGACTTAAGCCAAAAGTTTATCATGGCAATGGCTTAAAAACATATGTGACCAGAGATGAAGTGACTCCTACATGCATTGCTTGAAAGAAAGGAAAATAAGTAACGGATGAGAGTGGAACATAGTGATCCCACTATGGAATCATTTTGACACGTGAATTATAATGTACTTTGCAAAATTACATCAAATTTAAAAATTATGATGCTCTCTCCTCTTAGATCGTTAAGTATCTTTCAATGCAATTTTTTCATAGAAACACTTTGGATAAATGTAGTAGTCTGAAGCTTTAAATGTTTAGTTGTAATGGGTTGCATTGACATGAATAAGTTTTCGTGTGTGTTAGAAGCATGGTAGTTTTACGTGTAACCATGTTGGATAAAAATCAATTTTTAAAAAACCAAATTGATTTAAATCACAATTTAAATTAAAACAATTGATTTCTAAAATTTAAATTGCCCCAAAAAATCAATTTTTAAATTTACAGTGGTGCCTCGACTTATAAACATGCCTCCTTATGATCAGTTCGAGTTATGACCAGCTCCAGCCACAAAATTTTACTTCTATTTGCGACC